TGATTAATTTCTTGGTCAATTGTCCATCAGGGACCATGTTCATGAAGAGTGTTGATGCTTCATCTTATGTTAAGACTGAGGTAAAAATATTTGAGCTTTTGAACACGTTTGTTGAAGAGATTGGTGAAAAGAATGTTATTCAAGTTGTGACAGTTAACGGAAGTAATTACGTTTTAGCTGGTAAGAGTAAGACATCCCACTTGTTAATTTGTTAAATTGTTTTCAATTGTTGTTAATTTGTTCTTGATTATTTTTTAGGAAAATATTTGCAAGCCAAGCGGCCAAATTTGTTTTGGACCCCATGCACAGCACATTGTTTGGATTTAATGTTGGAAGACATTGGAAAGATTGAAAGGGTTAAGAGAGCCATTGGAAAAGGCATAAAACTTGTAGGTTTCATATATAAACATTCATTGGCTTTGAACACAATGAGAAGGTTTACAAATAAGACCGAATTGGTTAGGCATGGAGTCACAAGGTTTGCTACGACATTCCTTACATTGCAAAGGTTGCACAAACAAAGAAAGAACCTTAGGAACATGTTCATTTTTGAGGATTGGGAGAATTCCAAGGCATCCAAAGACCCCAAGGGGAAAGTGGCAAGAAGGACTGTACTTATGCCTGCCTTTTGGAATGATGTTTTTTTCTCACTTAAGGTTATGGGGCCTCTTGTGCGTGTGCTTAGACTTGTTGACAATGAGAAAAAACCTGCAATGGGCTATATTTATGAGGCAATGGATAGGGCCAAGGAGGCAATTCAAAAATCATTCGGTGGAGATGAACAAAAAGTACAAAGACATATTTGCTATCATTGATAGAAGATGGGAATGCCAACTTCATCATCCTTTGCATGCAGCGGGCCATTATCTAAATCCTGAATTCTTTTATGGCAATGATTCAATTGGAAATGATAGAGAAGTGATGGTTGGCCTTTTCAAATGCATTGAGAGGCTAAGTGCAAATGAGGAAGAAAATGATACAATTACAATGCAATTAGAATCATATAGGACTGCTGAAGGCCTCTTTGGTATCAAATCAGCAATAAGGCAAAGGACTTTATTAGCTAGTAAACATGAATTTCAAGTTATTAATTATATAGGACTGCTTAAGGCCTCAATATTGTTATTAATTATGAATGCTAAGTTTTTTGGCATTATAGCTCAATGGTGGAAGTTGTATGGCTCTCAAACTCCAAATTTGAGAGACTTTGCCATTAAGGTGTTGAGTTTGACTTGTAGCTCATCCAGGTGTGAGCGCAATTGGAGTACTTTTGAACACGTAATATTTTATATATAGTTACATTTGATGTATGGCTTATGAAGCGAAGAAACTAATATTTTTTATTGTTAATTATGAAATAGATTCATTCCAAAAAGAGAAGTAGGCTTGAGCATCAAAAGTTGCAAGATTTGGTTTTTATTAAGTACAATCAAGCTCTTAAACATCGCTATGACAGTCATGATGTGATTGATCCCATCATCCTAAAAGACATTGATGATAGCAATGAGTGGTTGGTGGGAGAAGTGGGTGAAGATAATGCTGAAGATGAGAATATTTTTATGATGATACTTTGACTTTGGGAGTTGTTGAGAGCCTTTGACATACACAAGGCTGCAGACAAGAGGAACAAGAATGGTTAACCAAGTTGTACCTTCAGTTTTAAGTGAAGATGAGGAAGAACAAATCTATAAGTTTAGTTCAAGTGAAGATGAGATTGAGGGAGAAGATGTTTTGGAATTTGATGGAGAATCCGGAGATGATGATTTTCTTCATTAGTTCACTTGTGTTTTATCTGACTATATCATTTTGCTAGTATAGCTTGTGCACTTTTTTGGATGCAAGTTTGTGCATTTTTTTGGATGCAAGTTTGTGCAGTTTTTTGGATACAAGTTTGTGAACTTTTAATGTAAAGAATCCTTTCTGCACTTTTAATATAATGAATTGTTTCTTGAATGTTATTGATTGTTTCACATACAGTTACAGCTCACAAAGCATTCTGAAGGCTGATGTTAATATTCACATTTACAAAAAAAAAAAAAAAATTAATATGCCATGGTCCCTTCCTTCCCTTTTACGTTCAAATTTGCTATTGCAAGTCCCTTCCTTCCCTTTTTTTTCCCGCTTGTAATATATTGTTGTGCAGCTTGTGCTATGCGTATGCCATGGTTAGGCCTACATACAAACAGCCACACAATATAATATATAATAAGTACACAAAACAATATGCATGACATATATAACTAGAGCATGGGGGGACTGATAGTTGAGCATTTATATTAGTTAAGACTGTTCTGTTAATACTTCACCGTAGCGGCAATACCGCTACCCGCTACACCGCTATACCATTTTTGGGGTCGGCCAGTACCGGCCGCTAACTGCTATTGACAACTATGCTATTGGGGAGATGCCATTCTTACTGCAGCGTTCTTGATCAACCGTTTACCCACTCGGGTTCTTGACAATGTAAGTCCTATTCACTCAATAACTTCTTTTTTCCCTTCTGTTCCAACTATGCAGAGTCTTCCTCCACGAGTGTTTGTATGTGTTGTCTTTGTTCATGTTCATAAACATCATCGCAGTAAGTTAGATCATAGGGCCCTTAAATGTGTTTTCCTTGGTTATGCTCCTGATAAGAAGGGCTACAAGTGCTATCACCCTGGCAGTCGGAAATTTTTTGTTTCTATGGATGTTACATTTCAGGAATCTGAGTCCTTTTTCCAAGGTCCTCATCTTCAGGGGGAGAATAGTTCACCAGAAAACTCATCATCTTCTTTGAGTTTGAATCTTCAGTGTTTACTCCTTCACCTCCTCCTCTTGTGTCTGATACTCCTGTGTCTGATCCTCCTGTGACTGATCCATCAAGTACACCAGAGATACGGAAGATTGTGACACCTGAGTTGGTATATCATAGAAGGAAACAACCCACATTGCTTCAACAGCAAGCTCAATCGTTTGAACCATTAGTAAGTCCTGAATCTCATATTTATGATCATGATATTAATACTTCTGATGACTTACCCATTACTACTGATTCTGATGATTTATCCATTGCCTTAAGAAAAGGAAAAAGATCTTGTTCCTCCTGTCCCTCTTGTACTCAATACCCTATCTCCCATTTTGTTTCTTCTACTAATCTTTCTGTGCAACACAAAAGCTTTGTTTCAGCACTAGATTCTATTTCAATCCCAAAATCAGTACATGAAGCATTGAAAGATGGGAATTGGGCTCAAGCCATGCAAGAGGAGATGAATGCGTTGGAGAAAAATAAAACATGGGAGGTTATTGATAGACCCAACGGAAAGAAAGCAGTAGGGTGCATATGAGTTTATGCCCTGAAGTATAATTCTGATGGCACTCTTGAGAGAGGTAAGGCTCGATTAGTCGGCAAAGGTTACACTCAGACCTATGACATTGATTATGAAGAAACCTTTGCTCCAGTTCCAAAGATGAATACGGTGAGAGTCTTGTTATCCCTTGTTGCTCATTACAATTGGGATATAAATCAATTTGATGTGAAGAATGCTTTCCTTAATGGTGAGTTAGAAGAAGAAGTCTACATGGAAATCCCGCCTGGTTTTGATTCTGTGAACGGAGAAAATAAAATTTGGAGATTAAAAAAGGCCTTGTATGGATTGAAGCAGTCACCTCGTGCCTGGTTTGGAAGATTTACTAAGGTTATGATGACCTTAGGATACAAACAGAGTCAAAAAGATCAAACTCTTTTCTTTAAGCATTCCCAAGATGGGAAGCTCACTGTGCTCCTTGTATATGTTGATGATATTATTATCACAGGTGATGATTTTGTGGAGAGACATATTCTGCAAACACGACTAGCCTCTGAGTTTGAAGTTAAAGACCTTGGGAAACTGAGATATTTCTTAGGGATAGAGGTAGCTCATTCAAACAAAGGAATTTTTATTAGCAAGAGGAAATATGTTCTTGATCTTCTCAAAGAAGCAGGAAAGTTTGGGTGTAAACCCTCTAATACTCCTATTGAGCAGAATCACTAGAGATAGGTTATGAAGAGGAGAGTCCTCCAGTTGATAAAGGACAGTATCAACGGCTAGTTGGAAAACTAATATATCTGGCTCATACTAGACCAGACCTAGCTTATGCTGTTAGTGTTGTCAGTCAATTTATGCACGATCCAAAGGAGAAACACATGCAGGCAGTGGAGAAAATTCTTCAGTGTCTTAAAGCTACTCCTGGTAAAGGACTGTTATTCTGGTGTGATGGCGATCTCTCTTTAGAAGTCTACACTGATGCTGATTACGTTGGATCTGTGACTGACCGTCGTTCTACCACTGGTTATTGTATGTTTCTTTGTGGTAACTTGGTGACGTGGAGAAGTAAGAAACAAGATGTGGCTGCCAGATCAAGTGCAGAGGCTGAATTTCGAGCTATGGCTCAAGGCATTTATGAGTTATTGTGGCTAGAAATTGTACTTGATGATCTCTAAACAAAATGTGAGGGACTTATGAAGCTACTATGTGATAATAAGTCCGCTATTTATATAGCTCATAATCCAGTTCAACATGATCGAACTAAACATATTGAGGTCGACCGTCATTTCATCAAAGAGAAACTTGATAGCGGGTTGATTACTACTCCATACATTCCCACTGGGCGTTCCTTCAGACAAATCTCAAGAGCTTACTAGCAAGCTGGGAATGATAAATATCTATTCCTCAGCTTGAGGGGGAGTGTTGTAAATAATAATATTTATTTATTTATTTGTTGTATTGGGCTTAGCCCATTAGGTCATGTAGTCTCTTTAAATAGAGAACCCTTTGTACAATTTACATACAATTCAATAATATATCTGATTACTTTTTTCAAGTCTTGCATTTAGCACATCTATGAGGGTTGTCCTATATATTACAAATTGCAGCTGTTTCTGTTGTTTTGAATATAAATCTTTCTATTTCTTAAAATTGTGTCATTTAAAAAAGGTAAAGCAACATACAGCAGTCATCTTGCTATTTGATGTTTACTTATAGCAGGAGGAGGGCTCGGAGATAACTGCAAACTCGCTTAACCCAGGAGTAATCGCCACGAATCTATTCCGCTATCACAGTTTCATTGATGGTAATTCTTTTGTACCTAGGTGTTTTATTTTAAAACATATTTCATGTGAAAAACTTCATACAGCATTCAACTTCTTGTTGCACATGGCAGACACCATCTCCTGTCTATTCTCTTGTATTGTTTTATGTCTTTTTCAACTCGAATGTGGGGACAATTTAACATTTAACTCATTCATTTATTTGTAAAATTAGAGTTTTTACATAAGATGCTTTCATATAAAAAATTACATTTAATTATATTCAGAAACCTCCTCTCTAACATGATTCCAAGAGACAAGATCTGAAATGTGGAGGAGGCTACTTACATGTTCTTTGATACAACAACATGAGGTCTAGGAAAACCATATTAATGCAATGATGTTTACCAAAACTAAAATTTGGTTATTGCATTTTTTATAGAGGTTTAATTAATTTGTTGGTCGTTGTAGTTTTACGTAGTTTTTAAGTTAGTCCCCATAATTTTAGATCTTTCTAATTGGGTCCTGAGAATTAACAAACATTTCTAATTAGGTCTCCATCATGACCAGTTGTCAGGCATTCATTGATTTAGTTCTTAGGTGACAAATTAGGTGCCAATATGACAATCTATTTCACTTGTGTCGACTAGGGGATGACCAAATTAACCCATTTCATCCCACAAAAACAGTTATGTTATTGTCATACCTGTCAGGTGGGTCACAATGGTGAAAATTTGGAAACATTTGGTAATTCTAAGGATCTTGTAAAGAACCAATTCAACTCAAAAGCTTAAGCTATTGGATGAGGCTATATTAATGGTTTTATATATTTAAACAGATCTCATCAGAAAAATTTAAATTAAAGTTACTAATTTACAGACTAGATAAAACTGTAGGAGCCAACATAGTAATAATTACTTTTATAACTTTAAAACCAAGGAAGGGAAATAGACGATATTCTCCTTATTTTTATAGATAGTAGGAATTTAAATCATAACACAGATTAAATCAAAATTACCATAAAAAGTTATCTATTACCATTAGCATAGAAACTTTGTGGGGTGTGTTCACATGTGTGACTATATAGGACCTCTTGCTTTCACCTTGTTTCTTCTTCTTGCAGTCATATGTATTTAATAGCTAAATTGCACTTTATTGGTATATACGTAGTCACAAACGTAGAGATAGAAATGGTGTCCTGAAACAGTAGAGAAATGCAAGCAATGACACCACACAGGCTTTTTTTTAAAAAAAATAAAATAATAATAATGATACTTGAGGGCGAGCTTTGAAGCAGCTATAAGATTGTTCCTTGTGACGGGAAGATCACGGATTTGAGTCTGAGAAACAATCTTTGTGCCAAAATGTAAGGGTAAGACTGCGTATAATCGACCTTCAACTCTACCCTCGCAAATTGAAAAGCCTTGTACACTGGGATTTGCCCTTTAAATAATGACACTTCTTGACACTACCCAATACCCATTATGATAGATTTCTTTATCACCCCTCTATATATAATATATCGGTTATGGAGTTTCTTGTTTTCCTTCTTTGGATGTGTAAGATATGATTATACTGACAGTTTGGTCCTATTTTTTATGCAGGATTTGTTGGTCTACTTGGGAAATATGTGATGAAAAATGTACAGCAGGTAAGTGATATATATTTGTAACAAAGAGGAAAATTTACTAGTAAATTAGTTAAGGGAAAGCTTGCCTTATGCACCTTCACAACATACTTTTTCCTTTTGTCCAATTCCTTTCATCATAGGGAGCAGCAACCACATGCTATGTGGCATTGCATCCACAAGTTAAAGGGTTGACTGGGTGCTACTTTGCGGACTGTAACTTGGCTGAAGCAAGTTCACAATCAGCTTATCCAGAGCTGGCAAGGAAACTGTGGGAATATAGCTCTAATTTGGTTCAAACTTGATATCATGTTTCCTAAGGAGTAGGGACTTATATGTGTAGTGATAGTTTCAGACACATGAAAGGTCCATTAAAAACACTAGACTTCACCCTTGTACAGTTGGTAACTTGGTAGTTGGTACTTGTACCTCATTACATTGAGATATACTTAGCTTCTGTATTTTATTCTGACTTCTGTGACAGCAATTTACTGTCATCTATTTTGTCATTTTTCTGTAATTCAGACAAAAACTGTCTTCAACTCTAGTAGGATTTGAATCATCTCATGACATGACAATCAAGAGAGAGAGAGAGAGATAAGCATGAAACTAAAACTATAATTAATAATTTTAGCTCCAATTTCAATTAACTGTTAATTTGTGCCATGCTTGAAGATCAATTGGCGTAAAATAACTACTTGGATGAATCACGTGGCCTAAAAGCAATTCAAGTTGTCTTAGATAATTTAGCCTTTTGGTGGTTAAATAAACAATGCAATATGCTGCATGTCCTATATGGGATTTGATTATTCACGTTGTAGCTGAATGTATTCATTTACACAAGAAAGGTTCTTCACGTCATTCTTGTTGGCAAGTGTGCATGCTTGGTTATAGTGACAGTTTTTTGGCATCTTGATCTGTTAGATAACTAGATTTTACATACCTGTGAAAGGGGGAAGGTTTGTGATTGAACGTTCATTGGCAAGGACAATTCTATAGCCTTGTTTTTTTCCATGGCTTTTGAGAGGGATGGCTTTAGCCATATATATCATGAAGAAAATGTGCAATGCTGCGGATAAACGGTAAGAAATTACATTTGATGATAGCGATTTTACTGTAATGGTTTTGGCAAGACAAATAATTTAGCTATCATGGTTTTGGCAAGACAAATAACTTAGCTATCATCCATGCAACGCGCCAGGTCCTAATTCACTGCTGAAAGAAACTTCATTTATTTATCTTTTTAGAGTGATCATAAGAGCAACACAAGTTTGAATCTATGACTTTATCCAAACCATCCAAACCCCTCAACATTATCCTGCAGTTTGTTTTATAGCAAGACTAATGAATAATAGAAAAGTTGATCCGATCAGATAAGCCTTGTATAGATCAGATGAGATGATCATATAAACCATGTATCTTCGATTTTTACCTTCAAATAATAATGTACAAAACAAGTCCAATAGAAGAGTCTATAATAACAGTGATACATCTGAGCCCCCAGTTAAACAAAAGATGTATGGGCTTCATAAACCCTTGGCTTCCCATCAATAATTGCAGAATCACAATACAGTCTCCCATCTTCTGTACAGCAATACCTGATTATCTCCCAAAAAAATAGTCTAGAAGCTAAAATTTTGCATCAGTTTCACTTTTTTGGCATCTATATGATGTTCTAAAAGATACAGTTGTCATTGCATGAAATTTCTTTTAACTGAAGGAACTGCATACACATGATTATAAAAACTCACATTACTTGAGCTAATATAAATATTAAACCTGTCATTTCTCATATCTTAGGCAACAGAGAGGAGAAATCCAAGCTCCCAACTTCTCATGCATTGATGCTGCATCTTAAATATACTACATACAAACATAAACTCCTCTTTGCTAACAAGTGAGGATTTGCTTCAGTTGATATGCACAAATCAAATGTTAGAAAGTTACATCCTATGGCTTAGTTTGGCATTTCACCTGTAAGGATCTGAATTCCACAAGCCTGAAGCCATGAAAAATGAACATATGTGCCCCAGCTGGCCTCTTCTCAGATCCAAATTTATTACATTGATTCTCTTATGCTTTGGCTCCTTATTGTACAATTACTTCCTCAGCAAATAGAACAATGAATAGATCCTTGTAACCAAAAGGTATTATGACAAACTTCACTAGACTTGCTGGCATAAGTGGGCCAGGAAAATTCCCGGTGTCATAAACCATTTGGTCGGCGGAGCAAAGATGAGTTGGGACTTAGATCAAGGGATGGGTAGACATGATCCCCCAGCAGCTGCCGGCAAACACGATCAGCCAAGACTGATTGAACATATGGCTCATCATGAGGAGGATGCCTTGCAAACTGCTTCCCCAGACCATCATTTTCACTAAGAACCAGCTCTGATGTAATGTGAGATGTCTTTTGCATTCCTCGAAAAATGTCAACATTTGAGTCATGATGAGCAGGGACACTATTGTAGGCACCATTTGAGGACTTTGGCAAGCTTCCAAGACCCTCTGGAAAGTAAACTAGGTGATTGCTAAATGGAATGGCACCACTACCACCATTAAGAGGTGTGGATGCACCAGAAGGGCTGGATATAGGAGAGGGAGACATTCTACCATTTACATTCTGTGGTGATCTTGGCCTCAAAAGTGGGCTTCCAATGGGAGAGACAGGGCATGATATATTCCTTGGAATATGGATTTCACTGGAGAGTAATGAGATGATTTCAGACCACCATTGGTAATGTCAGCAACCTTGTGCGTGCAGTGTGTGCGTGTGCAGTGTGTGCCTGCGTGTGTGTGTGTGTGTGAGAGAGAGAGAGAGAGAGAGACCTTGCATGAGGATTTGTTTTCAAAAATCTAGAAGAATGAAGAGAAAGTCTATCTGAATCCAACGTAGAAAGATTCCTTCCTTGTCCAATGCCCTGAAAATTCGTCAAAGTTGAATGAAATTACCACAAATAATAACAAGAGGATACGGTACAAACCACAAAGGAAAAGACACTTCCAAAGGTCATTTCATTGATGCAGGCAAAATTTTCCAGTATCTTACATTTGGAAGATAGTTCAAGTAAATGAATACCTAACCCAGATACACTTTGGAGCATCCAAATGGAGATGTATAAACTAACATTTATTTTTCTGATTTAAAAATCAACCACACCATTATGGTACGATATGGATCAGGAAAGTCCTAGAAGAGCCAATCAAGTTGTATATGCCTATATAAAGCCACTATGTGTCAAATGATTTAGAAATTATATTTTTCATTCATAAATTTTAATCAAGGTTTTTCAATGTAATCTGGTGGATTCCAGATCTGAGAGGGTTCTAAACCTAGAACCTTTATTCTGTCCCAACTTTGATCACCCTCTTCCTCAACATTAAATCTGTCTCAAGCTATTGCCCCTGCTTTTCCCTTCTGAATCCTTCATGCTGCCTTGGAAAAATATGTAAAAACAATTTCTACAGCAACTTAAATGGACAAGATGCGAGAATAAAGATCATTCTTTTTCCCCTATATTCTGGTCTCTTAATAGATTCAAATTATTCTTGTTTATATTTCCAAGAGAATGAATTGTCTTTCCCATAAAAGAAAACTAATTCATCAATCATGAAGAATTTGACAGAATGAAGTGCAGAATATTCCATATGACATTTTCATTTCATGTAGCAAAGTAGATGGCTTCATATTTTATTCCTATTGTGCAAAGGGGGCAACAAAAAGGGGGAAAAAGGGGGCAAGAATATTTGATACAAAAGCATGACATGCACTGGAAGACAAACAAGCTATCCCCAACTTTATAATGAGAATAAGTAAATCAAACGCAAATAAACTTATATGATTTAGGTTGGAAATAGCTTCTCTACCAGAGCTTTTGCTCCTTCTGCAATCTCAGATATAGGGTCTGAAGCTTCAGGACCCAGAATAGGTCTTTCTAAAGGTGCAGCACATTTTACAAAAGGGTGTTCCAATAATTCAATGGCTGGAGGGCGATTGTATGGATTACGTTGTAGACATCTCCTAACAAAATCTTTTCCTTCACTAGAGAGATTATCTGGGATCGTTGGGAGTTCCTTGCTATTCCCAATCTTGAACATGGCAGCAACCTGGTATGTTAACATGCAAATACAATAATACATCAAGTCAAGCCATAAATTAATACAAGAATTATCATCAGTGCCTTATAAATGTAAAACAAAAACAAAATATATAAAATAATAGGAAAAAAGAAATAACTAAAAGTTTCAACATATTGACATAAATTACTAACCCCTTCATACTGACTCCAAGGAGGCTTGGTTGTAGCCATTTCCAAAACTGTGCATCCAAGACTCCATATATCGACAGCAAGGTTGCAACCATTGGAGTTCTTTATAACCTGAATAATCAGAAGGCAAAGATATTGAGTCACAAAACCAAGATGTAATTGAAAAAATAAAGAACCAAAGCTAATATAGAATAAGACATTACAACCTCAGGAGCCATCCAATAAGGACTTCCCTTGAATGATAATGGACATGTTTGCCCTGTTATCTGCAAGATATGCAAGTTATAAGTTGGGAAAACAGGAAAAATCATGCAACCTTGAGATTATTCAAAGCATTAAGAATCCAAAAATCAATAAACCAAAGGCAATCTCAAATGGCAATTATTCAGGAAACCAATATCTTGTGAAGTCAATAAAACCAAAAGAACCTAGTGTCTTCATTATTGTTTCATGGACTATTACACGCGCACAGTCTGATCTTTTTTGTAGTTGGAGTCATACAAGTTAAACTGGTAAAGGTTGGGGCAGAAAAGAAATCCCCCAAAAAGAAAAAAAATATTAAGGAACATCAATAAACCCCAGTGAAATGGAAACTCCCTTGAATTAGTGAATTACTGATTTTTTAACGTTGATTCATAATTTCACGAAGCATGAGAAACCGATTTTCATATCTTATTCTATTAGCTCAAATGCGAGATATGGATAGTTTTTATCACCAAGCTTACATGTTTTGCCATGCCAAAGTCTGCCAACTTGACCCGTCCATTAGTATCTACCAGTATATTTGCTCCTTTAATGTCCCTTTACAAGAAAAATGCAATTTAAGCAGTTGATATATCAGAAGTTTAGAAAAATAATCATTACGTGGAAGCACTGAAATATAAGCTTTTGCAAATAAAAAGGTGACTTTATTCACCTATGGACGGTATTTTTAGCATGTAAATAAGCAAGTCCTGACAAAATTTGTTGAGTAAAACTACGAATAGCTACTTCACCAAATTGCCCATATTCTTGAAGAAGTTTATATATGGAGCCTCCAGCTACATACTCCAGGTATATGTAGAGCTTGTCATCTACCTGTTTAATGGATAATTCAGAAGCTTCCATAAATAGACTACGAAAACAAATACTGCAAACAAGTTTATAATACTATGTTGTTAGGCAATCCATCAGCAACTAATAATCTCAAACTCGATGATCATGTATGCATTAGAAATGGACAGTCAACAGACACATCCTAAAACAAATCATGATCACTCACAGGCAGCTAACATAAACATCAGAATGTAAATGAAACAGGAAACAAAGAACTTACTGATTCAGATCCGTAATACTGCACAATATTTGGATGCCGTAAACGGCTTAATAAGGTAATTTCCTGCCAGAATCTGGGAGTTAGATTAGGAAAGCTACACTAAATTCGAAACAGAACTAGATACAATAGTATCGCACATAGTGAATAATCCAATGAAATTTTCCTATGTCTAAAAGAAAATAAATTTACCTGCATTAATTGCTTAGCACTTTCCTTAGATTTGGCATCATCTGAAAACAGAGTTACCTCTTTCATTGCACACATTTCACCACTTTCCCTGAAAAGGACAAACATTTTAATCAAGCAACTTTATCAAGATGCGTGCCTTAACAGATTTAAAAAAAAAAAGATTTAGTTCATAATAAAATTAAGAACTTTGGGTCCAAAGTACATACTTATTGAAGCCAACATAGACATGTCCAAATGTGCCTCTTCCAAGCAGCTTTCCTTTTTTCCAACGTGAGCCAGGGCTCAACGGAGGGCTCAATGGATTATCTGCTCTTCCTGGACTTCTTGGCATAGATGGAGATGTTGCTGCAGAATTTGAATGAGAGAAAGGCATGGAGTTGGTAACTGCTAAAGGAGGAAGGGGCAAACGATGACTTTGTTGTTTTCCATCATCAACCCGTCCTGTCTGTGATTCAGTGGGTGCTCCCCCAGCTCTGGGATGAATAGGTGTAACAGCTCCACTCTGAATTCTAGAACTTGGACCAGGGCTTGTCATTCTGGGACTCAGTACAGGAGAATACTCAGGACTACCCCTGCTTGGTTGCCAAAACAACTGTCCTGACATGTCCCCGCCCATTGAATTATGCCCAGAATTGTGACCGGAACCTGGACTTGAGCAGTGCCCGGATCCAACTAAATTGACCTCTGAATATGGCTTTCCAGCCCAAAAAGCAGAGTTCAACACCTGTTCTGTGCCAAATGCTCTCAACGGACTTCTTGATGGACTTGACATGGAACTGTCAGGAGCACTACAGAAGGCACCGCGAGGAGGAATCTGCAGATCTGGAACATGGTTGCTTAAAGGCCTCCGTTTTGGAGAAGTAGAAGACATATGATTCCCCAGAAGGTTTACTGGCTTTTTGGCTTCTCTTGAATTTACTTGGGAAACAGCATATGATTGATCCTTGAGCACCAAGCTTCAGAAAAGGGCAAATATCCAGGATGAGTAAAGTAAAAAATTGTTTGCAAGAAATCATAAATAACCTAGGCATTATATGTAACAAAATATGCAATCTGGAAAGCACATTATCATGAATGGTTGTGAAGTATACCTGGAAGGACTGCCTGCAGCAGTTCTTGTCCCAGTCTCGGAGTCAGTTGCCAGAGGACTACGATTGTTGGAGTCCACTGGTTCATCACTGTCAGCAGAGCTCTCACTAGAGACTGAAGCAGTGACCAGATCTCCATCCAAATCTGCAGGATTCAACCTACCACGCATGCATCCAGGTTTTGGTAGCGGCAGAAACAATGATGGTTTGGAGCCCTTTTCCACTCTTGATTTAGTCGATAAGCTAATTTCAGAATCTGCTCGGCTTACATTTGATGGGTGCAGGCCAGGAAGAGGTAGTGGCTGAGCATGAGGCCTTTCAGCAAAACTTTGACACCTTGCCACTTTGGAATGCGATGGGGATGTTGATTCAGAACGAGACTGGGCCCCTTTCTCTGAAATAGCGTCATTGCGATGTCTACGAGACTCTCCTGATCTACTGCTTAGTTTACCTTCAGATGGGATTTTAAATTTTCGGTGTAATGTGTCGATAAAACTTTCCTTACTTGCTTTCTTCTTGGTTTCTTTTGATGATGATCTCCCCCACCATGAAGGCATATTTGTATTTTATATATTGCAACGTGGCAAGCAAATTTCTTAAAAGGACCCCATTAATAGTTCAAAAAAGTTATAAAGGTCATGTTCATACCAAAACCGTTACCAAATAGAGGATTCAATAATTCCAAAAGAAGTACTTTAGAGTGAGATAGAAATCAGTGATTGAAAACGGTTGCTAAAAACCTGCAACAGAGAAAAACATGTATTTTCAATCACTAAAAAATGCACGTTTATCATAAATGCATATATTGTATCCAAATTCTTCTACACGTGCATATATTGTAATTAATCACTAAGTCTATGACAAAACAGTCCAAAGTGATGCATTGCACAAAGTTGAGATAAAAGAAGAAGCTAACAACTGAATAATTCACTAATTTATGCAACAACTAGTCATCCATTTTTTTCAATGAGTTGGTCAAACATTAACATAGTAAGAAAAATCCATACACCTGATCCGACACTTTTTTCAATGAGAACTGATTAACTAAGCATTATAAAAATCAACAATTCCATCAGCTAATATTTAGGCCATAGAACCCCAAGCCCAAACCCTAGTACAGTATCTATGTCATATAATAAAGCTGAAACATCTATAACCTTCCTAATCAATATATATTAGTACAGCATGACCATCATTGCACAACTATCATATGTAGATTCTAAAACTCCTCAAAACTTGAAAGGATTATAAAGACAGTAACATCCACTACTTTGCATAAGCTCAAATTCCTTATTTTGCAACTTAAGAAATCAAAGTTTAATGTACTAACTCCAAAGTTCTAACCAAAAAATTAAAAATAAAAAGGAAAATAAATGAAAATATTAAGACCATAAAAATTTGTACTCAGATTGTCAAAACAGTAAAAACCCATCTCTCAATCAAACTAATCTTAATATGTAGATTACTTTTTGCGTGTGTTCCAATACCCAGAATCCCAAGCCCCCCACCAGAAATTATATACATATAATAAAAATAAAAATTCAAACTTTTAACTTCACTCCTTGTAACTACACCAAATTTTCTCAGAACCCCAAGTGAAACCACCACCCCATTGTTGAAAACGATCACCTCAAAACACAGATCCACTCATCCACCAACACATATCACTGAGCACAGAAAAACAGTTAAATCAACTAACTTGATGATCATTCACTGAAATTAGAACAGGAAACCAAACCCAAAATGCAAGAAAGGTAGAAACTTACTTCAAATTGCTCAACGCTGAGAATCAAAACTCAACCCCACCGAGTGATATTCAGCTCAAATCTGAGTATGAAAAAAAAAAAACATTTTTTTTTCTGAACTGTTCAGAACTTCAGGAGAGAACCCCCAAAAGAAAACAGACTCAGAAAACCCAAAGTGCAAGAAAATGAAGAAGGATTTGCAGTGGTGTGTAGTGAAAAATTAGGAATTGGAAGATAGTGAAAGAAATCGCGTACGGAAGCAGATATATATAAAGAGAGAGAGTGTGTGTGTGTTTTTTCGCTGTGTCAACACATGAAGAAGAGGGTCTATGTGCGTTGATTCTTAATAGTTAATAATTAATTAATTAATTAACAAACTGTACCCAAAAAAAAATCTTAAAAAATAGAAAATGTAATTATTACATTTTTGTCCGTTCGAAAATAGAACGGAGATATAGAAATCATGTTCGAATTTGGCTTCACAACTAATTACATAACGGCACCATTCTTTTATATAAAATTCTATAGATCAACGTAATATGTCTATTAATTATTTTTTAATATCAGTTGATCTACATATTTGGTAGTCTATTAATTTTCTTTGTTGTCAATGGTAAATGAAATCGAACTCATTTAGCACAGTTATTTTAAAACGAATTTAAGTAAATTCCTCCACCTCATGCAACCATGGGTAATTAATTTTACAATATGAAAAAAAAAAATCTACTAATGAATTTTTTCAATAAAATAAGTATATCAAAATAGTAAATATGTTAATAAGGTGGATGAAAGTTTTTGTGTCAAATTGACATGGACTAGCTTAATTTTCAACAGCATTTGTATTGTGTTGTGGAAGTGGAATCATACTCCTTTAAGTTAGGTCATTATGACGCTTCCAAATTTGTTAGGAATAATTAGTGTGGCCACCTTTTACATGAGAGTCTTGGTCACTATATTCATGATTTTTCTAAATACTGTGGTGGAGCTACGGCTTTTAAGGCTAAATGTTTGGGTGTGGTAATTGGCTTGAAATATGGATATATAACATTAATTTTGGAATGTGACAATCAAATTTTAATCCACAAATTAAAGGTTGTGGCTAGACATGTGTTTAATCTCAATTTTTGACTTATAATTTCTCCTTGTTATCGAGTGAATGAGTTGTTCTGTTAAATCATATTTTTAGGGAAGGTAATTTCATTTTGACTCGTTATGTGTTCCATTTACCTTTTAGAACTCAATTTCTTCATGCTATGTTGTTGAATATTCTCATTATCTCTATGTATTGAAGGTTAGAACAGATAATTAGTTTTTTAATATATATATATATATATATATATATATAAAAGTGTCATCTTTTGGCGAAATATATGTTAATATATCTCAGTTTGGAAATTATTTTTCCTTGCCACATTTTTTAGCTATCCCACTTGGATCTTATTTTGGGTGCAATGGGAATAGATACTCCCTTATCTAAAAAGAAAAAAGAAAAAGGAGGTACGAAAGAAAATAACCTTTTGTGGTGACGGTAGTGCAAATGTATTACATATTTTAATATTTGGTAAAGGATATATACTAAGTAATGGATATATCTAATAGTAAAAATATATTACCTCAATCGCATGATCACTTTTGATAAGTGGCAAGGAAAAAAACTTTGAAAGTGTGGCATATTCGCATGTATTTTGCCAAATTGCCAATATATCTCACTTTGGATTTTTTTTTTCTGCCACATTTTTTAGCCACCATCACTTTTGACATGTGCAAAACAAAAGTTTCGTTGCTTATATTAGCGTAACCCAATGATATAGGAATGTGCACGCTAAACATATGTCTCGTTGCCTGCATCAATGAGACCATGTAACTTCTTGTTCCTGCAACGTATCTCATTCCTGCATCATTTGGTTTCACTAGTCGAGTCCATGGGACTTAAAACGTGGCAGAAAAAACCTTTGAAAGTGTGTAATATTGGCATGTTTTTGTCAAAATGTGGCAATTTGATTTTTATGCCTAATTTATATAGATTATTTCTGATGAGATTCTTAACTGACTAAAACAAGTTTAATGGTAAGATACAAAACAGTAAATATGGAGGTTAATACTTTAAATTTTTCTCTGCTAATAGTTTACTTTTCAAATTTATGTCTATGAATTATAATATAAATTTATGAAATTTGTATCTAGTTAACTTTTTTTATTTTACTTTAGTTCCTAAAAAATAACTTTATACAAATTTTATAAATAAAGCTATAAACTAAATTGCAATTGAAGTATAATTACTAGAATTAAGTTACCTATTACTCCAATTTAAAAAGGATTGCTATTAAGACTTCTTCTATTTTAATACAAAAAGCACAAGATCCAAAAAACGAGAAGACTACTTACTAACCAGTATGAGATAAAAATTTACTTTCCAAAAATGAAAATTATCTACCAACTAACCTGAAAGTGATAAAAAATTACTTTCCAAAATATAAAAAAGATTACCTACCAATTAATAATGGGCAAGTTTGATTTTCTTCTTGATTAGTAATCTGATTTGGTAGCTATCTCTTTCCGAAAAAGTCTCAAATCTTGTAAGAAAATAATTTGAACGAGTTCTGAGGGCTATTTGACCATTTTGCCCCTCATTAATTAATTAATAACCATTTTGCCTCTGATTCGAAACTATCTATCAATCTGTCCCTCTTTAATCGACTACTTTGAATGTTTAATCGACTAAATGGTTGTTGGGAGATTTAATCGATTAAATCTCCTTACTTAATCGATTAAAATCATACTGACTTATTATTTTTTTTTCAAATATGGAGATTTAGTCGACTAAATAGGGAGATTTAGTCGACTAAATCTCCCAACATCCATTTTTTGTCTGTTTTGCCATTTAGTCGATTAAAAATGCAAGGTAGTCGATTAAAGAGGGGCAGATTGATAAATAGTTTCGAATCAGGGGCAAAATGGTTATTAATTAATTAATAAGGGGCAAAAGGGTGAAAAAGCCGAGTTCTGAGTCATTCTTATAATTTTATGAGGCATCAATCAAATTAATCAAATAATTAACGAATTATTGGTAGAGAAATTTTTAAAAAAATAATTTTTTTGAATAAACATTTGCGTTGAAGATTTTTTATGCCTAAATACAATATATTTTAAATTAATACCCATGCAATACTTAGCATTGAGTTATATGCATAAAAAGAATTAAAAAATTGATCATTTAATAAGATTTTAATAAACTATTTGAGAAAACTGTTTTTTCATCGACTCGAGAAAGCTTTGGGCATTGGTCCGATGTTCTCACATCGTTTTGCATCCTCTCTTTTTTTAAAGGGAGATGATTTTGTCCCGTTATTGGAGAAAAATTATCTCTTGTTGTCTCACAATAGTTTTTATTTTATTTTATTTTTTTTAAAAAAATAATGGAATCCACTGTAAGATTGTTTCTATGACATAAAAGAAAAAATTGCATGCAAAATAAGAAAAGATTTCACCTTTTTTAAATAGTGGATCTCAATTTTTTGACTCAATAATAGATATTTACTTTCTACCGCTGCTGCCAAAAAATAAAATCCAAAGTATTTTGATGCATAAAATATTAAAGAAGATATAGATTTTGGATTTATATTTTAAGATACTAATAAAATTTAAAATTTTGATCTTTTTTTAATATGATAATGTGCATGAGATATCAAGGGATCTGCAAAAGAATCAAAAAACTGAACTGCACTTTAAAAAAAATGGTTTTTAAAACCAGTTATTAAATTAAACTATTTTTTAAAAATCAATTCATGAACGGAACTGGTTTATAAACCAAATTGGTTTTCAAAACCAATTAAAAAACCATGAACCAAATTGGTTTTTTTTGTTCTCTTATTTTTTTTAATTTATCTCTCTCTCTCTCTTATACATTGACATAAAAAGACAAAAAGCAAAGAAAAAGAAAACATAGAAAAATTAAACAAGAAAGCTCCTATCGAGTCTGCACATGTCTAGCAAAAATCACACCCAACTGTCAGCCTGAAGATGACACCATAATCAGGGAGGGGATGTCAGAGAAGTGAGCTTCATCAGGTAACTCTAGGTGCATCAACAGATAGTTTGCCGACCAATCTACACACTGGTTTCCCTCATGAAGAACATGTATAAATCGAACATTCCATTGACGACTAATAAATGCTCGTATTTGACTCACTAGGTGTGATTCACGAGCTTCATTGCCTTCCTTAGAAAATAATGCAATGACTGTTTAACAATCACTTTCAACCAAAATATTTCTCTAACTTGCCTCACAAGCTAACTTCAACCCTTTTAACACACTTCACAATTTTGCTTGTAAAGCAACTCAGTGTCCAATTCTTGCAACAAACCCCCTAGCCAAACTCTCCTATAGTCATGAAGAAGTCCTCCTCAAGCTGTTGCAGTTGTTTGACCCTTTGAGGCCCCATCTGTATTTAACTTAACATACAGAGTCAAAGAAGGCTGCCAGCTAACATCCTTGGAGAAATGGAATTGCAGCCCTGGCTTTGTGTCTGTAAAGGCAAGTTGTATCTCCTTCAAGTAGTCAAGGATTGGCCGAGCAAGGTGGCGATCCTCATTGGGAGAGCTATCGTGGGTCACTTCATTTCTCCAACGCCAAATATACCGACAACAAACAATATATAATGCGCTACAATTATCAATCACCCAATCATCATAATTGGCATAAAAAACTAAGCTAGTCTATCATATGGCAAGAAACCATACCAGATATCACGGATCACCAGATAATCTCGAAAAATATGCAGCAAAGACTCTTTCTCTTGTTGACATATTGGGCAAAGAGGGTCTGCCATGGACCATGAGCTGATCCAATATTTTGTAGGTAAACTTTTGAGTAATAATCTCCAGAAAAACATTTGAATCAGTTGAGGCCCTTTCCACAGTTTGTTCCAAACCTTCTTAGAGAAATTGCTATGCAGAAAGGATTGTTTTGCTAGATAAAGATAGCAATTACTAACATGTACTACTGTTGTACCATCTAGTAACTAGAAGCTTCTATCCAGGCCATCATGCATATCAAGAGGGAGTATACTTTTGATCTTTTCAACCACCTCTGAATCAAAATGTTGTAGAAGCATGTTGTAGTTCCACTTACCATCCTGGCCAACCATTTGATTGAGGCTGTAGTCTCTCAAATCTTCAGGTATACTGCTTCGAACATGATCATAGAGGCAGATAG